GATTCCTTCTAAACTGAGTGGTAGTTACACAGACGTGCGTATACAAACTCACTAGTTTTCAAAATTGATTGCAGTAAGTAATTTTTTGAGTTTTTTTTTTTTACATTTCGTTATGTTGAAGTCAAGAAAGAGAGGACTTTCACGTACGTTTTCTTTTGTAAACATATTTCTGGTCAGGCAACGCTGCGAAAGGCGGAGCCTCAACTATCCGGCGAACCGACAGTTCTTGCTCCATGTGTCTCAAAACGTCGCATGCGGCACGCCACTCTATGCGACGCCACACGCCGCATCGCAGAGAAAATCGCAGGTCTGTCTCGCGCTTTATGGTCTGTTGCGGCCACTGCAGCGCGACGGGGCGGGGACGGGAGGGACAGGGAAATGAGTGGCGATGGCTCCCTTGAGGCAGCAGCCGCAGCAAATTAGCTGGTGTTTGTCACAACAGTGACCTACTCAGTTGCTCTAATCAGTGTTTTTTTAATCTCATTTATCACAGCAAAGACATATCGCATATTTAGTAGACTACTAGGTGCTATCTAGATAAAAAGCAAATTGATTTTCCCCGTGCGTGCGGAGCACTCAGCCTTTTTTTTTTTTGAGAACCAGCTTTTTGTTCTGAGGCTAACAAAAAAATCCACAATGCATGTAGCTGACTGATATGGCACCGAATGCTTGACAATGTCATTGTTCTATTTATGGAGATGTCTTCAACTAAGATATTTTGATTATTGTGACGTTTATTGAGCACTCTCGCGTTTTCTCAGCCGGAATGCTTGAAAATTGTTTTTAGACACTCTACAATCGGCATTCATTGTTTTTATAATCTGAAAGCGTATCGAAAAAAACATAATTTCAATAATTTTATGTTATTCGGTACACGTGGTAATATTCTGGAAAGTAATTAAGCATCAAACGCTAGATAAAAGTGGTTTCTACAAACCTGGCCACGCACTCCTCGTAACTTTATTAAAGAGGCTGCGAAAGTATACATCATTAGAAGTGGCATTCAAATTTTTTGATAGTTCCTTGTAGGCAAGTCATTATTATATGTAATACTGACGAGGAGTGGCTTATCTAGAACAATGACACTGACAATAATAGGCCTCAACCCCTCAAACAAAATCATGAGACTGCGAGGATAAACTCAAGCTAGATTTATGTATGCCCGACACACGCACACACACACACGTATATATATATATAGGTCTAAGCTCGCTTATTTTTGCAAGAATGCGGGGCTTCCAATGTTAGCTAAGGACATAAAGAACAGAAAAGGGAGCAACCTCAACGTTTTTTTCTCGGCCAAGACACGCAAACCAGATGTACCTTTTCGCACTATTGTTAGTGAAGAACGGTCTTGGTATATTAACGTTAGCAGATTTCTTCAGAGGAAGCTAAAGAATCTCGTGGTGAATGAGCCTTTCCGTGTGAAGGGCTCAATTGATGTGTGCGACTTTTTGCGGTCTCTTGTTAATACAGGAAACGCCTTTTCAGTGGATGTCGTAGATCTGTATTATTCCGTGCCGCATGACAATCTTCTAGCCTCTGTAAAATCCTGCATAGAAGAGAATGGTGACGTCGATTTTAATAATGACGCCGGCGTTAATGTAGACAATTTTTTATCGCTTTTAGAATTTTATTTCAATGCAACTTTCATTATGTTTGTCGAAAAGCCCTTTATTCAGCAGCAAGGAATCTGCATTGGTTCCTATGTCGCGCCGCTTCTTTGTGATGTTTTTTAGCGGATGTAAATAGGGATTTGGACAATGCTTTCAAAAGGGGGAGGTTCCAAAGTTTTTTAGGCACGTTGATGATTTTTTCATTCTTTTAGATAAGCAGGCCGACGTTACATCCCCTGAATTTATTTTAAACGTTTTTATAGGACTTGGACGAGGGCTTTTCTTTACTGTTGAATTGCCTCAAGAAGCTTGTCTGCAGTTTTTTTTACTTAAGCCTCACGCGGAACGATGAGAATCTTTACTGGTCTTATCATCCTCGTATTGAGAAGCAGTTGTTGCCGTGCGATTCTGCCCCCTAAAGATTGTGAAGAGGGGCGTTGCGTCTCTTTGCTTGGAATCGGCGCTAAAAAAGTCGTGCCCACACAGCATGAAACTTAGTTTCCCCAATCAGGTGAGCCGACTCGAGGCTGGTGAGTTCCCTCGATCGGTCATTACGGCCGCTGCTGAATCACTTCTGCAGAAGTTTAAACGTGCAACACGGGAAGCGATCACTTCTGCCCAGCCCTTAAGGATTAGGCCCCAAGTTGTGCCATATATTCATAAGGTCTCGCACAACCTCAGGAAAGACGCGGCCAGGCACGGCGTACCGATGGTGTTTTCTGCACCTGAAAAAATAGGAAGACTGTGCCAACGTATGTGCGATAGGAAGAAGCGCGGCTTCGAGAAGAATCATGAGAGGGCCTTTGTTAGGTGTTTTATGGGGGTTGTGTACTCCATACCCATATCCTGCGGAAAAATGAACATTGGCGAAACCGAATGGCGTATTAATGAACGAATAAGGAAACACGCCCCAAAATTAACAAAAACAAATGACTAGTATGCGCACCTGGTTGCGCGTGTCATCTCGTGTGGTTGTGACACACAATTTTCTGAGACAAAGATTCTAGGCAGAAGCGCAAGTAAAACTGCACGTGAAGTGTTGGAGGCCTTTTTCATTGAAAAAAAATTAATATCACTGTGTAAGCGCCCCTTTATTATCGTTGTTACAAAGCGAATTTCAGTTTATCGCTCGGAGGCTATGACATTGATTAACTGTACGTATTGATATGTGTGCTGTTAGCCTTCTATGGTGTGTATGCGCACAATTTGTCCTGTATATATTCAAGCCTTCGAAGTTTGAATAAATTCAACTGGAAGTGAGCGCTGCGTGTGTTTGATGCATGGGGGTCTGCGTGTGTGAGTGATCGTGTCGTGTTTTCGCACTCGAATGAACTTTTAGAAATTGAGCGGTGGCAAGTGTGCCTCGACCTAGTTTCGCGTTGACGTTACGCTCCCCTCGCACGCTTTTCTTGCAGCTGGCCGTTGATGTCACTCTCTCTCTCACACGCAGCATGCCTGCTGCAGCGCCCTCAGCTCATGACTCCTGCGTTCGCTCGCAATACCTTTCTCTACCGCTTCACTTCCTCCACCACCTGCAACGGTCTCCCACATGTCGTGTGATTGATTGATTGATTGATTGATTGATTGATTGATTGATATGTGGGGTTCGATGTTCCAAAGCCACCATATGATTGTGAGTGACGCCGTATTGGAGTTTTCCGAACATTGCACGCCGTATGGAAACAATTTTTGGCTCGTTTATGTGTGATGAAACTTACACAAAACCCAACCAGCCTCCCGTGGCTTTGTGTTTCAAACAAACGTTTACTCGAGTAAACGCTACACGAAGTTTCGCTTCAAACCGTTCTTTCAGCATCAGCGCTGATGCCTGTTTTAACCGAGTCCACGCTGTGCACACTACCGCTGCATAACATGTGTGATTACCATAGTTATAGCGCGAGCACAAAACGACTACACAGAGACAAGAAGCACACGAAGGACTCTCTGTGTAGTCGTTTTGTTCTCGCACTATAACTATCGTCATGCACGCTATCGTCATGCCAACAAGCCCAAACTGCCACACTTCTAAGTGTGTGATCAGCGGAGTGCGCCTTTAGGTGCACTCCTAGGAAAATGGGCAACAGAAAAAGAACGAATAACGCATGCGAATTGTGACCGAGGCAGAGAGCGATGTCAAAGTAGCTTCGAGCACGAAAACACGTCGCGCGAGCGATCAACGTGCAAGTGGTACAATTCGAAGTCGTCATGGAGATTCCAGGAACCGATGGCTGGTAACCATGGCACATCAGCAACGCCAATCAAAACGGGGAAATGGGCCATAGTTCAAGAAAGATCTGAGTTGAAGAAGAGCTAGGGTAGTCTGAAGTGGACGTGGCAAGTGTAAATTTGTCACCAGACTGGGCATTTAAGATGGGTCGTTAGTTGTCGGGCCCAAACCTCCAAGATTTCCACCGGCTGGGACCTCTTGCTGTCGTGTTCCCGCTGAGGAACCTTAGCCTTCTGGTCCTGAACTCTGACCCAGGGCCTGTGGGCTTCGGTTTCGGCAGGCTAAGAGCAACAGCCGTCTTGTTACTGGCCCGAGCTGTACGTCCAGCTGCTTAACCAAGTTGCCCCTGGTTTCTCGACCCGCCGAGAAACAGGGGGAAGCTGGTTTATGAACCAACAAAGTCCCAATGGCTCATAATTTGTCTTCAAATCCGTGATATTTTTAGACGTTATTTCCGTGATGGATATATGCGTCTGAAATATTTGTGGGCCCTGGAATAAAACAGTGCTCGAAGTATTCTGCATCAAATACCAAACTGAAACAGGCTATCCTTATTCTTTATTCTGTCGTTTCGAAACTCGAGGTACTTCTCTCAGTTCCGCACTCAGTACTTGCAAAGGATTATTCAAACACGTCATTTTAAGTTTGAGCTTATTCAGAAGAAGATATGCTGCGTATGCTGTTCAATCGAACTTGTGATCATTCGAACATACAACCCAGTGATGCAAACATTTAACACCCATTTCAATATGTCACAGAGACTAAACTACCATAATACCTACTACTATTATGTGATTATTTAAATGAACAGATAGAGAAAAGTGCCGTTTGTAACTGTCTATGATTACGGTCGTCACTTTTTATCATTAACTGTCTATCTAACAAGACGGCACGGGCGATCGGGTAGTGGGAATAAAAGAGAAAGGTAAGAAGATGAAAGAGAAACACTTACCATTATGTGTATCTCACGTGCAAATATACACGTCAGGCCTTCTCTTCACATTTGTTGTTTCAAAAGACTGGCTGCGGGCCCCGACATATACGCAATCAGAAATAGGTCCATGCCCACAAACTCGATTACCATAGGCAGAGTACGATTTCGTATATGCAACTGCCACAAGGCATACTTGAAAATGATTCTTACAATGCATACTTACGTATGCAAAATCAATTTGACAACTTCATTCACTGCTGCAAATGTGCCATCATCTCGCACGACTGCGATGCTGTTCGGTGTGCATATGCTGCCTTTGACTGCGAAACCTACAATAAAAGCATAATGAATGACATATAATCGATATAACTCAAAATAGGCCACATCTATAAAAAATCAAAGCAGTACAAATGCAAGTAAAAATCTACACAGCTGCATTTTGTACGTTTAAAGCAGGGGTTTCAAACTCACCTGACCTACCGGATCGAAGCCACAAAATTGAGTTTTTCCCAAAATCTCTGATATCGAAGGAGGTTCGTGGAGGGGAAAGAGCACAGGGGCAGTGCTGTGGCAGAGTGTGATATGTCACGTTTTTAGTGCTAAAGCAAATTGAAGTGTGCATATAGAAATTTAGAATGGCAGTACACTCAGGAACAGGTGTCGTTATAAGTGGCTCAAGCTGCACATCTCTGCGTAAGTGCCTGCCACCCCCCTCCTAACCGCTCATTGGCGTCGCCGACGGGACGTGCGGGGGGGGGGGGGTAAAGATTAAGAATATGCATATGCAACCGTGTGTTTAAAAACGCACAAACATAACTGGATACTGGTAGAACTGCCCCGCCCCCTAATCTTAGCGTCAACGTTGAGTCACTGTAACTAAGAACTGTAACTATTTTACGCTTTACTTAAATTGATATCGTGTTTCTGGTGCTCGACAACCTGTGAATTTGTATTCCGTGACTAGGCGGACATCCACAAACAGCTATGACGTAAAAAAAGAAAGATGCTTGATCGCTCTTTTTAGGAATTACTACTACACAAAAGTAAAGTATACCCTTATAGTATGTTCGAAAGTTTATCGTACGTCGGTGTAAGAGAGCGTGCACTATGTCTCTTGACGTTTGGCTTCTATAGCCGTGTTTAACATGTATGCAACCTTGTTTACGCTTGCTGGTACATTATCGATAGCTGATGTCCATCTTCAAGACAAAGCAAATAGTTTGTTCCAGCTGTAGTAGCCAATTATGAGAGCCAAGTCAGAGAAAGTGGTGGGACAACCAAAAGAGTGCCACTGCATGATTGAGTGCAGCTTAGGTCACCATTCCGTGACATGTCAAAAGAGCGCACGACGTGCGTCCCTGAAGCCCAGCTGCGATATTTCTTCCTCGGGGCGAATGTAAGCTGAGAACGCGTTGTTACTGCCAGGCCAGGATGGCGCGCATCGCAGTATTATGACTGAAGCCGAAGCTTGGGCCAATGTAAACGTGCTAAATGGGGTGGTCGATTTGAGGTATGGTGCAATGAGATCGAGTACCAGCACAATAATTCATGTGGCATATCACAGAGGCCTCCGGCTTATGCAGGCTCACGTGGTGCTATGCGCGATTTTTTTTTAAACCGTCTGCCCTTGCTTAGTTAAAAAAAACAAACAAACGAAAGGACATTAGATACAACTAGCAATGAAAAAACCGGGCAGGGCACTTGCCTGAACTTCATACAAGGCTAGATCCACCGGCTACCTACAAAATCAAAATCCTAATCAGAGAAATTACGCGTTGCATGAGCTAATCGCGGAAGTAACGATTATGCCGCATTACCAAGAATACCTTGAGAAAAAAGTGTGAGATATAACAAGCGCTTTTCTACAACCTCTGTGCCTATGACCGTGACGCTGCGGTTAGCCAGCCCGGCATCTTTTGGCGGCAGCCTATCTTCTGCATTATTGAGTGGCATCCAAAATTAAATCATTCATGAATACAATATTCAGTTTTGAGGTAAAATTTACTAAACAGCGAATAGACACAAAAAAATAAAAGCCGTGCCATGATGGTCTAGTGGCTAAGGTACTCGGCTGATGACCCATAAGCCGTGGGATCAAATCCCTGCTTCGACGGCGGCAATTTTTATGGAGAAAAAAATGCTATAAGCCCGTTGGCTCAGACTTGGGTGAACGTTACAGAATCCCAGGTGGTCGAAACCTCTGCAGCCCTCCACTACTGCGTCTCTAGAAATCATATGGGGGTTTTGGAACGTTGAACCCCACATATTATTTATTCAAAAGAAATAAACTGGTCAGTGCTAGCGTGTGTGAAGCAACACCTCAACTAATCTGAAGATAATCGTGTGTCGTAGAAGCCCCCTAGTCAGAATTGTGTTAACATAGGTCTCTCGTCCAAATTATTCAGAAAGTATTATTGAATTACTTTAAATAAGTTTACGCATTGCCTTGACACCATCCTATATATATATATATATATATATATATATATATATATATATATATATATATATATATATATATATATATATATATATATATATATATATATATATAATTGTATACCTGTAACGCCGCTGCGAAATGAAAGGTTGCGCAAAGTTTCACTACAAGCACAATTTTTATACTCACCCTTACTAAGAGCTCCATTTTGAGTTTTCAAGACTCGCCTGTAAAACAAGATATGCGTGGTTCCTAAGCAGCTCGATTAAATTCGCTTAAAGAGGGCATGACGAAAATATAGCTCGTTGCTTACCTTGTAGTTAAGACGAGGAGTTCTTTTTTGTAGTTGAAAACATTTGAATGCGCCTTTATGAAAAATATCACGTTTTTATAAAGGTTTTCGACGAGTGCTGGTTGGCCAACCCTTGCAAAAACTTCGTTGGTTTCAGTTTGTGAAAGCTATAAAAGAAAATATTATTTAACAAATGTTAAAAAGATTTGAGTTCAGATTTATTGTTGTAAACCTCGTGTACTTGTTAGAAATTCTTCTTATCAAAGTGACAGAAGCGTGATGAAAACTGATTAAATTACATTTCTGCAGGGAGTTCCAGTAGCGCAAAATGAAAACTGCCTTGCAATCGTGAAAACCATTGCCGATGCTATCAGGTACTTTGTTTCTCCCTCTGACTAGGACGTTGTCTATCGTGTGGCCACGAATTTCACTGAGAAGAACAATACTGCTCACTTTTGTTGCCGTGACATGAAAGGCGAGTTTGTGCGTAGTGCTCGCAAAGCCCGTCTGCGTACTGGCCGAATTGGCTTTTCTGGTTCCACTGATGCGGCAGTGTTTGTAAATTATAACCTTACTTTCGAGAACAAACGTTTGTTTTCAAAGGCACTAGGTCCGAAGAAGGGTAGGAGCTGGCAGTTCTTATAGACGGACAACAGCCAGATGAAGACTCGTCAGACTAGTTGCTGCCAAGTGTTCATTATAAAGTCTGAGAACAACCTTCAGGTTTTCGACCAAATTATTTGTTATTAATTTTAAGACCTTTTTATTTTTAATTTTACCTATCGATTTCTGTTGTTCAAAAGTATCTGTCAATCATGTTCTTTTCTGCTGACGAATTTATTTCATTACTTTCTCATGAACATCGCTTTCTTGTTCATTTCAAAGCACGTAGCTTGCGAAGGAATCACGATAACCTTAGTGATCTCACTCAATTTAGAGACAACCTTTTTTATTCATATGTATATCGAAATTCAGGCTTTCCGATGTCGACGCTGATTTGTATATTTTTACGTCGTACAACTCTGAGTATGGTCACCATGTGCCTGACGCCCATAGTGGCTCAGCTATTTTCATTTCTTCTAATAATATTTGTAGTCACAGATTCGATCTTTCACTTGTCACTCCATATTGCGAATCAGTTTGGATAGATATTGAGCAGCCTCATTTTACACAGAATCAAGAAAGTTTGGTATTGATTGTATCTATCAAGTACCTTATTCGCTATCTCAGTTCCCATCGGCTCTTGAGATCATCCTGAACAATACATTCTAAGAGAACAAAAACTCTCTGTTAGAAGGCAATATCAACATTATCCTATTAGATTCTCATTCGAATAATACCAGTGCCTATAAGGATTGCCTTCTAGGATACGGGTAGGGACTGGGGGACTGGAGTCTGAACCAAACAAGGTCAATTGAATTATTCGAAAGGCCATCAAGAAGGCAGTTGGCATACCTGTCAACACGAGCACCAACATGTTCTTTGAGCTGTGCCTGCACAGCACCCTGGACAAACTGATCGAGGCGCACAACATTGCACAATACGAGCAATTGTCCAAGTCCAAGACAGGCAGGCACATCCTCGAATCTCTAGGCATTACACGACGGACGCGTTTAAAGTGTGCTGGGAAAGGGCCACACTGCGGCACACGCTTTGGGAGTGTGGTGAAAAAGTTAACGTCACTGCCACCGCTCACTTCGCGACGCATGTTAAGCAGGGACAAACGGCGAGGCCAATTGCTGCTGCCACCACCGCGCGGTTACAGTGTACTAGAAGGGGGCAGTGGAGTGAACGAGGTGGCCGCGCCGTATCGCGTCTGATTCTCCGGTGAGTGAGAGTAGCAGTGGTGCTGTAGTGTCATGGTACTGAAGATCTCAAGAGCGTCTGCATTGGGAGCATGCGTGTCGTAGCCTGCGAAAGCGTGTATTTGCTTGTTTTAGCGCGTTTAATGCGTTTCTGAGCTTTTATCAGAGAATGCACACCTGCTAAGCGCCATGGTGCACGAGTGAATCTGCAGGCACGCCGAAATTGCATCGAGACATTCATAGTTTCAAGAGCCTGCCGACAAAAAAAGAAATATACAATCGACATTTGCACGAATACGCCCAGCTTCTCACTCAAGTAACGCGTTGAGCTGCGCTAAATCATAAGTGGCTACTGGTGAACTACAAACAGATAAGTATCAAAACTGCAATTAAATCATGCGCTCGTTTTCTGGGCAGTTTCTATATCAAGAGTACTGTTCCTCATATAAGTCCACATGCACTCGATTGTTTCATGAGAAACCCAAGTATAAGTAACGTTGTGACAACATTTATATCGGTGACGACTAAGTTAATCGTGCTAGTTTTGCGAAAGATGATAATTACTGCTTTCTGCAGGCTTCATTCTTTTAACCGCATGCTTTCGCGCTCACTTTGCTTCTTTATGCAAGCTCCGGGAGCCCGAATCAGGCAGCGGAGCTGAAGGAACGCCTGTACCTCCTATGGAAGAACTCTATGCGAAAGGTGTTAAATTGAAAAGTACGAGTTGTATATATATATTGCCCGTTTGTTCATTTCCGTAAATTCACTAAAAGCAGTTCTCATTTTGTATCGACAGCTTAAACTGTGCTGTTGTCATAATGTTCTATTGCTGTAACGCCGTCCCAAGCCAGCAAAATTATGTCCATGTTCAGTAACATAGATGTAGTTTTTATTAAGTGCCAAAAGTGTAGGTAAGCAGTGGTGCGTTATGTTTTGAGAAAATTAACTTGTACATGTACACACACACACACACACACACACACACATATATATATATATATATATATATATATATATATATATATATATATATATATGTATATTTATATACATATATATATATATATATATATATATATATATATATATATGATTAAAAAAAGAAGTTCTGTGGGTCCGTTGCAAATATAATCAAGAAATAAAGCAGCACACTTACGAAAATTCAATAGTTGTTTACTCTACGTTTCGGCCGTGGCACGGCCGAAACGTAGAGTATACAACTGTTTTCTTAAGTAATCTCTTTTATTTCTTTACTATATATATATATATATAAATATATATATATATATGTATATATATATATATATATATATATATATATATATATATATGTGTGTGTGTGTGTGTGTGTGTGTGTATGTGTTTGTGTCTGTAAACGTTCGGTGCAGGGCTAAAAAGGATTTTTTTTGAGGGAGGGCACAGCAGAACGACTAACTTTGGCAATTTGTGGTCGCTCTGAACACGTGTAAATATTTAGGTATACCCTGAAAACTTAAACTATGAAAAAATTTCGTTGTGTAGGGGGTTCAGAATCCCTTCCTCTTCCTTCTTTATTTTCGCGGCCTCCTGGGTTTCCGAGCGTTTGACATGTATATCGTTTTTTCATCTCACAGCTTTCTGAGCACAGCTAACATCAAATAAATCGGTGCAGTTATTCCTAATATTGTAGACACCTCACTAACAAAGAAAGAGTTAAAACAGAAGAAGTCGTAATAAGACATGCCCTTTCTAAATAATTCTCGATCTCTCATATGGACTTTGATGGGGCGCAAATTCAGCAGATTGGCGCGTTATATTTCAAGGGTTATGACAACATGTGCTAGACATTATGATGGGCAGGTACGAAGACATCTGTATCAAAAAAGCGCACCGAAGAAGCTGAAGCCCATAGCAGTTACTGCACGTGGCTGTTTTAGTACTATTCAACTGAAGCGCCGCCGCTACGGGCAACGCGGAAGGTATCAGGTGGCGAGGCGGTCATGCCACACAAAACTCCTTGTACGCTCTATCGCAGGGGCAGGGGCCGGCCTCTGCCGCGGCGGCGGTCACTGTTGCCGATCGGCTGGGAGGCGGCACTCACAAGCGACGAGCTCGCCGACCATCTTTGGGCCGTACGGCAAGCTGAATATGCCGCCCGGGTGCAAAGACTTCGAGCGGTCACCTGAGGCACAGCCATCATAATCGACGGAGAGTGGGATGGGACAGGGTTTAATCCCCTCTTACCCCACCTCGCCCGGTAAAACTGCCGGAATTTAAATAAAGTCTATGAATTCATTCATTCATTCAGTCATTCATTCATTCATTCATTCATTCATTCATTCATTCAGGGCACGGGTAATTGTGCCTCATTGATTCGAGCACCAGATTCAACACACGTGGCTCTAACACTCTTTTCGATGATGTTTTTTTTCTAACTTCAGGCCTAAAGTATCCGGAGTAGTAGATGTCGACTTTACCTATCATTATCTAATCTTCATCACATTTGATATTCCTATAGCTCGAATGAACACAGTCTTTACTACCAGGCGCTTTGACAAAGTAAGTTTGATCGATGCTATTTAAAATGTGACGGGTACAAAGTTAGCTCATAGGCTGTTTCACAGTCAGTGGTTGACACATTTTCATTTTTGTTCTTGGAAGCTACTTCTGCCAGTACTCATATTTTCGCTCATAACAACAAATACTAAAAGCCTCAAAGCCCTTCGATGACATCTGCCTTATTAACGATCAAGAGGAAAAAGGATAATCTCTATAGAAAAATGAAGAGACAATCCTTTAATAAAACTTACCACTTCGTTAAAAACGTTGTAATATTTTTAACTCTGATAAAACATGCGAAGAAACTTTATTTTAATAAAAAGTTTTCGAAGAATAAAAACAATTCTAAAAACAGTAAAAACTGTTTAATGAATTCTTAAATTACCTGCAATCAACGCGCCGATAGCGATAATCACTGACCATAACGCTACTTATTGTCATTCTGACGATATTTATAATTCATTTTATCAGTATTTATGTTCGTCATTCACCTTTTCTAAATATGTTCCTTCGCCTAGGTTACCACGCTTACCTCACTCATTTTTTCTCTTCCCCTCTTCTGCTGACGAAATAGTATCAGCTATTCGCAATCCTAAAAGTACTTCTCCTGGTTTGGAGAACATTTGTGCGTGTCATTTAAAGATTGTTGCTCATATCATTTTCCTGCCCTTAACCCATATATTTACCTCATCTTCTCTAAGGGTTCGTTTCCTGACTCAATAAAGCATGCAAAGGTTATTAAATGACCATAAAATTAATCTGCCAAAAAAATAATAGGCCTATATGTATTCTTGTATTAGTAAGCACACTTATTGAACACCTGT